TGTCATGTATCAATTCACTACCCAGTGGTGCGGATTCAGCCAGTTTGTCTGTCTATTCATTACCCACCACGCCGGCATAGCCTGGAGAGAAGATCCAAAGTATGCTCACCACCTGTGACCATTCCAGTGAAGCTAGCCACTCTGGTCGAAGCATCCCTGTCTTCATCTTTTTCAGCATCTTTCAGTCTTTTACAATAATGACATGTGTATGCATCTTATTCTCTAGCTATTGGAGAGCTGCAGTTACCGCCATCTCATGATAGATGATGTGTCATATGCTAGGCTGTCTTGCACTAAAGATTTTCATTGGCTTTCGCTACAAACCCCCAGGCACTTCTCTTTCCTCTCAACACTGAACGATCTGTATAGATAATCAGATCACCTGGGCGTGAACTGTCGTGAATCAAATGTTGGCCTTTAACCTTCGTAGCACCCGCTGGCCACTCTCTGCACACCCGGTCCAATGTTATCATATGTGTGTTGTCCATCAAGATGTTGATGACCACTCTTTTTCATCAGGTATGAGTACGAAGATAGCTGATGAAGCCGATGCGGGCCCGAAAAGTTCGTGGACAGTGAGGACAGGGAATTAGCGTTGTGCCAGGGAGGGGATCTCCTTCGGTCTCCTTTCTGTCCATCCTTTTCTTAATAAGTCTTGCTGTTCTATTTGCCGCGCCCTTGTGTAGAGCTGCACGCCATGCATTTCGATCTTGAGAGGCAGCCTCCCTATTGATGTCATTTATCCCAAATGCTTTGAGTGAAGACTTCAGGGTGTCCTTAAAGCGTTTCTTTTGCCCGCCTTGTGAACGTTTCCCAATTTGCAGCTCACCATAGAAGAGTTTTTTTTGGGAGCCTGTGATCAGGCATGCGTGCCACATGACCAGCCCAACGAATTTGATACTGCATCAGTAGAGTGTTGATGCTGGGCATGGCTGCTTTCTCAAGGACTACGGTATCAGGTACTCTGTCTTACCATCTGATATGCATTAGTTTTCTAAGGCAGACTGTATGAAAGTGGTTCAACTTTCTAGCATGGTGTGGGTATACAGTCCATGTTTCGCATGCGTACAGCAGTGTAGTTAATGCTTTGACTGCAGGGTTATGCTACTTCTGTTCCAAACATTTTTGTACAATCTGTTATCATAACCCTTCACAGGTCAGGCTTTCCCGATTGTACTCTGACTCACTCCTTTCCTAGCACAATGTTCTTCAGTATGCATACTTCTCTTATTGTGTCTTCTGCTTCGGCCATCCACAATTTTCCCCTTTTCAGCCTCCGACCCTTACCTGCAGCCGAAGCTTCACGCAGAAGGTTTTTTCTGTCTGCAGCTACTCTGAGATATGACTCAGCCTACAGTACCTTTAGCCTATCTGCAATAGTCGGCAATGCAAGGATGTATCGCATGCACACAATCGGGGTGTCTCTAGTACAACCCAAGTTCAGCCGCATAGCTTCAATCTGTATGCGCTCCAGTTTCTTTAGCTGACTCTTCGAGACAGTGAGTAACCCCAATCCAAAGTCAATCACTGAGATGACTGAGTGCTGGAAAAGTGTGAACAGCATTCTCTGCTCCATGTTCATCGCTGCCATAATCTTAAGTGCGTTTATACCTTTTTGAGCCCTTGTCACCACCCCCTCTATGTGATCCCTGAAAGACAAACTTCTGTAAAAGGTGATTACCAGTTACCGCAGTCTGCTGTCTCTTTTAATGTCCCTGCGATTTATTTTTAGTCTGGGAACATCAGCTCTAACCATTCTGTTGTCCAAAGAACACCACATGACGGTTGCCTTTTCTGGATTGATTACAGCACTTATCTCTGTACACCAGTCAATCGCCTTATCTCCTGTTGTCTGTTCAGCTATTTGATTCCGATCTCTTCCCTTGCTATATACAAGAACATCATCTGCAAATGTCAATATTTTGTCAACTCTTGGTGTTTCCAGGCAGGCAATCTTGCTCGTAAAAGCATTGAATAGTACAGGTGAAACTGCAGATCCCCGTGGTAGTCCTGGAGCTATAATACACGGTTCAGAGGTCCATGAACCCAGCGGAGAGCTACACGGCGAGTAGACAAAACAGCTGCTATTCTGCTATCCAATTCACCAAACAAGGACAGACTCCCTTCCCCATAAGCGCTTTCATCAAGATAATATCAAAAGAGTAAGCATGTATTTTGAGAATTGTATCAACACATTTGGTCATCTAGTTAGAATGCAGCTAGACCAAAAGTGAATATTCAATCTTCTACACCAGAACATCTGAGCGCAAGACGAGAGGAAGATCAAGAGAACTTAGTTGAATCTTGTTCATTCTCATTTTCGATGTACGGAGCAAAGACAGCGATAATCTCTGACGTATGCACTATTTGTAACGGAAACATTTTGTAAAAGACGGCGACAGTTTTAAACGAGGTGAGTTTTACGGTTTGTGTACATGATCTCATCGTTGTTTCTGTGAAGTATTTGTAGACAACGTTTGAAATGTGTTTTGTACACTATTTTTAATGGAAAAGCCGAATCTGGTCGTAATTATCTCAACAAAATTGGACTTGGTAAGAGAGAAACAGAACAGTTTTCTGAAAGAAACTGAAAGTAAAAGTTGAATTTTGACACATGTCCATGTTTTTGTTTGTTTCATGCAGGCTGTTGATTCACGACACGATTGCAAGAAGGTGATTGTTAGTAGTAAGCTAATGAAGTTTCATATATATATATTGGGTTTTTATTTATGAAACTATCACATCTTGATAGAGATTAAAATATCCAATCCAACAATAATAGAGACAATACTTCATCAACTAAGCCTAGAAATCTAAACAGATGTCAGGTATATATATGTATACAATATACAATTATTAAATTAATACTATTAAAAGACATGTTAGTCGTGGATATTAGTATTAATAGGGATACCACCAACATAGACAAAATTTGACTTATGTGGTTCTGGGGCCCTATTTAGGGGTAGGGAAGGGCGGATAGACCCACTACCTCCCTAACATGCATGTCTCACAAGGTGACTAGTTATAGGTGTTTTCTTTAAAGTCAAAATGCATCTCATCTGCCAGATTTGTAAAAACTTTGCTGTTTGGCAGTCTGACGTCTGCTGAAGGGATCACTGATCACACGTGTTTGCATTCATTAAACACTGAGTATCGAGTGGCAGGTTTTTGTTATAGTAGCTAATATGGATGTGCATAATTTTACAGGGACTGCTGATCCCTCATGCAACTAGGCGGTCTCCATTTCCAGTGATTTTTGGTGTCTGTTTGAAAACCAAACTACCAAATAAAATGAAGGTGCATGCAGAACTCTAGTTCTGGAACAAAACTTAAGTCCAGAGGTGGACAAACAATCAGAACTTTACCTGGGAGTTTACAACCAGTAAATTTTAGGAAGGAAAGAGATTAACAGTGTTATTCCTCTTTTTTTGTTGTTGTGATGTAATTGTTATTAGCCAGGACAGACCTTATGCAGATAACTATGGCTGAGCAGCAGATAAATTGATAAATGTTCCCACCCGTTTCTCAATACAGTGATGTATCTTCTTCGCTTCTACCATTTACTCATCGAGGTCTCGGGGGGGGGGGGGGGGGGGGGAATGTAAGGATCGTTTTTGTGCTTTTTTCAATGCACTGTACAAGTTGGTGTTCATTTCTGTTAGGTTGCTCATGATGTTCTCGCTTCATCTCATACAGTGATATATGGGTGTAATAATACCTAAAGTAGGTTAGTTGAAATATTAAAAATGTTTTTTTTCCATTGTTTGTTTTAACAGAAGAGTGAGCTATGGCTTCGGGTAGCGGACCAGGAGGTTTTGGGCGAGGTGGTAGGGGTGCAGCCTTATTGCAGGCGTTGGCCGAAAGTGCCCGTAAACCAGGCCAAACAGAGAAAGAATTGGTAGGTACATTTGTCTGTTGTATTTTATTCACAATAGACTGGGTAACTTGGTAGCTGGCATGTTTACTTGCCAGCCCAGTTGTCTTAGGTTTAAATCACCACAGTCGAAAAGATTGAAGAAAAAAATTGACCTGTGCTCTCGGATCAGTTTGGTTTAAATAGTACTAAAATTTATTCTTAGAATAAAAATGGCTAACACGATATTGACCACATTACCTATCAACTTCCATCATCATCATCCTATTTGCCCTTTATGGGTCACATGAAGCTCACAATCTGCTCCTCCATTCTGTTCTAACCTGCACAATCCTTTTAATGTCATGTAATCTCGTTGAGTGTCTTTAAGGGCATTAAAAAGGTGGCAGACAGATCAAGAGATAAGCTTCTAAGAAGAAGAAACATGTTAGATGTAATGGCATCAGTGCTACTGAAATGTCATGTAATCTCGTTGAATGTCTTTGGATGCATTAAAAAGGTGGCAGACAGATCAAGAGATAAGCTTCTAAGAAGAAGAAACATGTTAGATGTAATGGCATCAGTGGTACTGAAATGTCATGTAATCTCGTTGAATGTCTTTGGATGCATTGAAAAGTTGGCAGACAGATCAAGAGATAAGCTTCTAAGAAGAAGAAACAGGTTAGATGTAATGGCATCAGTGCTACTGAAATGTCATGTAATCTCGTTGAATGTCTTTGGATGCATTAAAAAGGTGGCAGACAGATCAAGAGATAAGCTTCTAAGAAGAAGAAACAGGTTAGATGTAATAGCATCAGTGATACTGAAATGTCATGCAATCTCGTTGAATGTCTTTGGATGCATTGAAAAGTTGGCAGACAGATCAAGAGATAAGCTTCTAAGAAGAAGAAACATGTTAGATGTAATGGCATCAGTGGTACTGAAATGTCATGTAATCTCGTTGAATGTCTTTGGATGCATTAAAAAGGTGGCAGACAGATCAAGAGATAAGCTTCTAAGAAGAAGAAACATGTTAGATGTAATAGCATCAATGGTACTGAAATGTCATGCATGTATTATGGGATGCAAGTTGGTTTTGCTAGTCATGCTCGCTGTGGATACTGGAAATTGCTTTATCCTTCCTATAGCAGCAGTGGAACACTATCATCTGGAAAGACTGACAGTGACTGCTGACAGCTTTAGCCTCTTTTATCACAACTTTCAGCTTAGCGTTTCTCTCGGGTATCCTTGTTTCCTGCGTCTGTTTCCTATTTCAGTGCCTGTTTTTGGTGATTCTCAGCCTAATTTCTTCTCGTGATGTGGTCTGTAAACATACTGGGGATAGCATTAATAGGCCTCGTGAGTCCTAGTGGCATTGGAGGCTTGGCGCCCACCTGCGGATCAGAAGGTTGTGGGTTCGTGCCATGGCAGAGCCAGACTTGTTTCAGAAATGACCTGACTCCTAGGTCGACCCAGCTTTAAGTGCAGTCATGGGAAATGAAGGCGGCCGGCGATATGCTGATCACATCACCCACCAAGTGCAGTTTAGTCTATTAAAAAAAAGGTCTAGCCCAAACTCCAAATACACCTAAAGACGTTGAAAACTGTCCTTTATAATAAGCCACAGGGTTTGGGAACATACTTATTTATTTTATTTACTTTATGATTCACATGTGATACAGTCCAGTAAAATATGTCAGATACATTGTTCATTACTGAAGTCTGATATGGTTAGTTATACACAGCCAGTGAGTACAGTCCTGGAAATGGTATCTCAACATATAATAATAACACTGTAGGCAGGGAATGGTTTTGTATTTGTATGAGTGTGTGATTATGGGTGCGTTCACACTTCTGTACAGCTCTGTGGCATAGAAATTAGTAAACAAGTTTCACAATCCTTGACATACCAGGGTGGGTGATTTAGAAAAGGATTGTTCTCCTAGCTTTTGGACTGGTGTGTGAATCATTTAATAAAGAGATTAAGACTTCTCCATGTAATATTCCTAAGGGGAGCCGCCTTGCAATATGTCCATTGCAGCCAGACTCCATTGTAGAGGAAGCAAATAACTGTGTCCAGCACGGCCAGTGTTTCTAGAAGGAGAACAATGTCAAACTTTTGGAGTATTGATCTGAAACCTCTTATGATATGGCTTCACAACTGTGTGTATGACAGAATCACCCTTTAGCACAGGGTCTCCATGGAAAAGTGGCCTCTGATAACTTGCATGTCATAAGAGGCAGCTTAGGATGGTGAGTTTGAGACTAGAAAACTGTAGCTGAAAACTAACCTATGATGAACATGTCCTGAATAAGCTTAGCTTGATTTGGTCAGCGACTCCATTCTCTATTGTTGGATAAAAAGCAGAGTAAGTAGGTTGTCCTCAGTTGACTTCTTTCCCACTTGTGCCCAATCTGTATTTGTATAACTTTATGTTTTTGTGTACTCTTTTTTTTTTTAAATGTCAGAGCCAAAACACAACCCCCCAGACAGAACCTCTGCTGGGCAGTAGAGTTATGAGGTCTGCTGTAGCATCATCAGAACCACTGCTTCCAATGGGGCGAGGTGCACTTTTAGCAAATCTCAGGGAGTCCATGTTGCAAGCCAAAAAGCCAGAGGAATACTCCACAGAACAACAGCAGGAAGCTCCGGTAAAGCTGGAGTCATCCCCACAGACAACTCCTGGGCTGTTCAGTAGTTCGGGTGCAGGAGGTAATTTTAATGATCAGTTGTTCAATAGTAATATCTTCTCTTCATTCATCATCATCATCATCACCCAGTTATGCCATTGTGTGTCGCACAATCTGTTCTTGCACCCCGGTGTCTTTTGTACAATTTTTTCAATATCGTGGATTGAATCCAGTCCATCACCTTTGACCTGTCTCATCAACGAAATGTTAGAGTTTATTTAGGGCATCACATCTCAGGATATGCCATCTTTGCGTATCCCATATGTATGGGCCTTTCTTCAGAGAATGCTTAGCATCTCGCTGAGAGCATCGCTTGATGCACAAACTCCATTAGTCTTGCGATGACCCCACCGGATCTCCATAAAAAAAATCGCACTCATGGACTAAATGACCCCGGAAAGTGATCCTGGAAGGCAGGCATACTCACCTTCACACAAACACTGGGCTGCCAGGCAATAAATGATCTCCCCCCCCCCCACCCCCCCCCCCCCCCCCCCCCCAAAAAAAAAAACCATTCTGTATACATTCCTGTTCCCTCGTCCGGAGGTCTTGAGTTTAGATCCACATTGAGGTAGATGTTTATAATTGACTTGGGTTCCCAGGTTGACCATTCCTAAAATGGGTACCAAGAAGTGTCCTGGGAAGTAAAGTCAGCTAGCACCATTTGCCTGATGTATCAGTGGTGTGGACATGTTTTTAACTCATGGATTTACTCATCTTTAATCTTAAATTATAAGTATATCATTTTTTACAGCGTTGACTGTTTGACTTATTTCCTAAAGACATATATATCATACTAAACTAACAAGGGGTGCTCTTAATGCCAAGAAGATGCTGCAAAGTCTTATCTGGACAGATTTCCAACAGTTGTAGAAGTTAGAAATGCTGCTGATGAACTGGCTTCAGAGATGGAATTCCTATTGAGATCATCAAGAGTGGGAAAGACATTCCAACCCCACACATTCAATGGCTAATAATAGCAAGAGTTCCATGCCTCCTCATAGCGCAGTATAACACTATAATCTGGAAAGATGGAAAGGTGCTAGTCAGTATATCATTTGTAGCTGCTGTTTTTAATTACTGTTGCTAGTGTATATGTAGTTAACGTTTCTTTAATGGTAATAAACAGTCAGCAAAGTTTAGCTGCAAGATCACTGATTTCTTAATCTTAGTTTCAGAGCTTGTGCCTAAACCACTTGGTCGTGGTTCAGCAGCAATGAAGGCGCTCTTGTAAGTGTTTACGTTCGTCTGTTATTTATTATAACTCCGTTGTATCTCTGCAATATATTAACGTTGAGCAGCCTAATCTGTTATATGAGGTGCAATGGTGGTTATTTTTTTGTTTATTTGATACTGCAGTTATGAATTATACACATGGTTATTGTCTTAAGCTGTTAATTAGAATTAGGGATCAAGTCACATGAGGCTGACAGCAAATCACAAAATATGCGAGTGTCGTATGCTAGGCAAGATCAGAGAAACACATGGTGGATGGAAACAAGCTCATGTTTTTTTCTTTCTTTTTTTCTTTTTCTTTTTCTTCCACCTTGTACCTCAATGAAGTGTCGGGGGGATATATAACGTATGTTGATGAGCTCTGTCAAGAGCACTATTAAGATTGATGTTCATTTCTGTAAGGCTGTTCTTAATGCCATCAGTCCATATTTTCTGAGGTCTTCCGCTCACTGTATACCCGTTTTAACGTTTCAGGTGTCTCGCTGTGGTAGATAGTACCAGGGCATTCTTGTTAGGTGTCCAAACCACTTCATTTGTTGTTCTTTGATGACCTGTAAGACTAGTTTTATTCCTAGCATTCGTCTGATTTCATAATTTTGTATTCTGTCTTTCCTTGAAACTTCTAAGGCGTTTCATCTCTGTTGTCACAATTTTACGTTCATTAGAGGATGTTGAGTGTCCACATTTGGTGCTGATTGCATAGAGTTGACCAAAAAATAGTTCTGATAAGATTCACTTTGGTTACTCTGGGGTATTTGCTTGTATGTCAACAGGGGAGATAGTTGCCCCATTACTTGATTAGCTTTGGTACATCTCAGGCTAATTTCTCCTTCCAGTTTGACGTCAGATTTAAAATTGCTCCCAAATGCTTGAATTCCTCTGTTTTTCTTTTTTTTGAATTTTCTTTCTAAATTGTCTCTTCCTGTTACCATTGTCTCTGTCTGTGTAGTGTTTATTCTCATAATAAACTCCTCCCCTTTGTTATTTATTGAATTTTTCTTTCTTTCAATACCTTTTATTTGTTTTAAATTTTAAAAAATATATGAAATTTTTTTTATTGCTTTTATGTTTAGATAATGTTTTCCCTATTTCTACAGACAATTAATGAAATGCTATAATTCTTAATGGAGCTTTTTCTGCCATAACTCATTGGGTATCATGCACTGATTTGTAATTAATGAAACTGTTCCCTGGTACCTAAAGAGTTGTGTAACAGTTTGTTTACTTATTTAGTGACATTCTTGATTTTCCTAATGTGTATATTAGTTTAACTGCATTTGATAAATGAATTTTCAAGATTCCTTAAAGTGAAATGGTTGAGCTATTATCCTACTACTCTGAAGGTTGTGGGGTAATTTTCATACCGCACATTTTAGTTCATGGAGGCAATTTTCTTGTAGATCCATGGGAGGTTGTCTCTGGAGCACTTTTCTTTCTTTTTGCAGCAAACTCGGCTGATAGCAGGCCAGTCTACAGAGGGAGAGGGCCGCTGCCAGTAGGATAAAAACCAGCACAAATTGGATTCTGTCACCTTTAAATATCATCCCACTTGAACAGTATTATAGCGAGTTTAGTTCGCTCTCTTCTTAGCGCTCACTGGCTGTATAAACTCTGGTGGAGAATTCTGGTTGTTCATCCACTTCTGGACGTGGTTTTATTCCAGAAATAGATTTTGCTTATCTTTTTATTTATCTGGCTTATTTGTATGCAGGCTGTTGATTTCAAGTAGATGTACTCAGACTTTAAAGGAAATTGTCTCCTAATGAATTGCTTTTACAATATACCAATATACTTGCCCCCCACCCCACCCCCAGTGGGATTCTGGAACAAACACAGTGAGCTAATTTAGTTGAATCAGTGCTTAACTCTTTCACAGCGACATTTTTTTCTGGGGCTTGGACAGAATTAATGTTGAGCTGTATTATTTTACTGCAACAAGATAAAGCTAAAACCTTCCTGAAGAAAAAGCTGTAAAATGACATTTAATAGAGCAAATTACAGAGAAATGAAGACAGAATACATCTAAACTATTAAAAGATCAGTATTACAACAGTCAAATATTTTATTGACACAACATTCTAGGATGTCAGACACAATACAGATTTTTTTTAAACACATGAAATATTGTGCTTATTTACTTCTTTACTTGATCAGCAACACTTGATTCATGTGCCCCTAAATCACCAGGTTCCAGACATTCCTGTCCTACAATGTATGTACTCTTCTTCTTTTTTCTACTCCTGGAATGCCTCATGGCGTCGGACAGGAAGAGATCTTGGAAACTGGCCCTTCTCTTCTTCTTCTTCTTTTTAAAATTGAAATTTTATTTAAAACTTGTTTTTAAATCTCTATTATAGAGCTCAAGAACAGCAGCAGCGTCATTTGCCTCCCTCTTTGGGTAGAAGATTTGACATGCCAATTCAGCAGCACAAAGAGAGGCCTCAGACAGATGAAGCAGATCTCCCAGCTCAAGAAATGGCTCAACTCAGACTGGAGGACCAGCCTGTGATACGAGAAAGAGTTCGTTTTCCAACCGTGACAAAGATTGGCACAGAAGGAACACCGTATGTTTCATTATTCTGTCCTGTTTTGATTGAGTACTTAATTTGTTGCCCTTTAATGCCATTTGTGCTTAACGTAAATGGTGCTAGACCCATAGTGTGGTCAATTATTCAGTACTTTGTGGGTGATGTTGTCAACCTTATGCCCCCTGCTCATTTCTAGGTCCATCTGGAAGCCAGGATCATTTTATAAACCTCGGCCTCGGTGTAGATCAAACCCAAGACCTTTGATCAGCAGCTAAATGTTTGGCTATTGCACTTACTCTACTCACTTGACTAACTGACAGTATAATTAACACACATGTTTGTATGTACACAGTCATGTAAACACTGGATTAGGTTAAACAACATCTTTTGTCTTCCTCTGCTTCTCATGCCTAGTAGTTTCTCACATAAGGCTATTCCTCTGTTTAATCTTGTCGACAAATTTTATTTCTTTGTTTTTATTTCTTATAATAAATGATCTCATAACACTGCATTGCTCAATACCTGACGGTTTTCTTCTCTGTCAACTCAGTCATTTTTTTTCACAAACTATATCCTTGCTATCTGAAATTTTTCAACATGTTCATTACTTGTTATATTAGCAACATATTATCGTAACTTTAAAAGTAAAGTAAGGGACCCGTTTTCACGCCTTCAGGCGTATAGGGCTAGACTTTTAGTTTATAGACCTATCGGCACTTGGTGGATGATGTGGTCAGCATCACGTCCCAGGACTGCACCTGTTACCCACTCAAGGCTGGGTCAACCTGGGAGCCAAGGTCATTTTTAAAAAAAAAATCCCGCTTCGTCAGGGCCCGAGCCCATGACCTTCAGGTCCCCAGGTGAGTGTCTAGCTGCTACACCACGGCGACTTACCATAAGTGTTAGTAATATCTAACATGGTCTGTTTAGTAGTATATTGTCTTGTGTTGTGTCATGTTAGTGTCATATTATCTCATATAATTTATAACAATGTCTTGTTTAGTAAGTGTTCACGTCTTTTTGCCTTAAATGTGTGTTAGCAAAACCTTGTTTAGTAAATGTTCGCATCAAGTCATGTTGTATTAAATGTATTTTAGCAGTGTCTTTTTTAATTAGGCTTTATCATCACATTATCTTTATAAGTAAGTTTTTTTTTTTTTTAAATACTCTCAAGTAAACTTGCGTTATCTCCAGTGTATGTTTAGGTAATGTGTTTTCTAGAAACAGCAAAATAGTCACCCCTGATATGGTTGCCTTACAGAGTTGACCTCTCGGCGAACTATGTCAAGGTTTTATGCAAGCATAAGGGTGTCTACCAGTATTGTGTTGCCTTCTCGCCAGCCATCGATAACAGGAAACTGAAAATGAAACTGCTTGCCGAGCACAAAGAGAGATTCAAAACGGTGAACAGTTTTGATGGCAATATCTTGTACTTACCATTTGAACTTCCAGACAAAGTGAGTTCTATTTCAGTTAAATCATCATACATTGAGGGGGAGGGTGAGCCTGTGTTTTAACAGAATGATTGTTGATTTCTGAGATTGTACTTCTTAGTTCCTTTTTTCAGGAGAGTGTGACACCTAGTTGTAAAATTTACATCTCATTGCTCTAAAGGTTGTAAATAAACGTTAGGATAATTTGCTATACTAACAGTTTCAAGCCCTGCAGTGTGTGCCAACATGTCAGAGCCTTTATTGGCAGGAATATGGCTTTAATTTAAAAAAAAAAAAGCATGTCTAAACTAACGGTTTTTAGTCGTGTTATTAGACCACTTACCTGTTGGGTTGTGAGGTCGACCTATAGTCTAGTGAATGGGGTTCTATTACCTGTACTGCTGGCTGAACATTTCTCATACAATATTTTTTAGAATACAGATTTTGTGCACTGTGCTCAAATTCTGCTTGTATCATTTGAGAGTTGGAAATCTTTATAGATTAACCTTTCTTAATCGGCATCCTGAGCCCTTGAGATTTATTCTGCAGATATCTCCTCTCCATTCATCTCCGTGGTTATCTTTTTCATTCCAGTCAGTTGGCGTCTCCACGTGTGTGTATGTCTGCCTGCACATTATCTCTCCAGGGTCTTTTTTGGTCTGCCTCATGATCTGCTCCCATTCAACTCGTCTGTGTACTGCAGGTTTTGCCTCTCTGTTATTTGCTATTTTCCCCAGCCTTTGTAATCTGCTAGCCCCTCATGTTTGGATCCACCTGTGTGCAATAAAAAGTGTTTTGGAAACATACTTTTCAAATTATTCAGTTTAATAATCACACACAAACCTGTATATATGTTAGAGCACTTTTGTGTTCATGTGATTTGTTAGTACATTTGAATCTTTATGTCAGCACCTATACAAACGTACATGTGTTTTTTTTGTAAATGAAACGGTTACATGGACACACGTATAAATTTTTTTTTTTAGGTACAGATGAAATGTGTGTGGTTTGTGTTCAGCTAAAGAGCAGTATTTACAAATAAAACAATCAAAGGGTGTTTTTATATTAAATATGTGGGAAGACTAACCTGGAAAACACATGCCTCAAGAAGTAGGATGTGTCTGCCGAAAGGCTGAAATATCGCATCAATGCTGTAAACAGACTCAATGAATTTGTGTCACTCGAACAAAAGATAAAGTATGATTTTTTTACATTAACATACAGACTTATATCTTTGAATATAAAAAGAACAATTATTACATTGACACACCCACCTATTATATTATTCATTGAACAATTGTGTGGACGCTCAATTATATCTATTATTGTTCAGGAAACTGTTGTTACATCAAAACGGATAACAGACGGGGCTACAATAACCATCACTGTGACGTTCATCAAAGTTGTCCCACCTGAGCAGTGTTGCCATCTTTACAATGTTGTCCTCAGGAGGTGAGTTTCAGTGTTCAGTCTCTAACAGGTTTACTGCAAATACATACTGTTTCTAAGTTTCAAGATTAGAAGGGGAAAAAAAACCATGTCAAATAATTATTACATGTATATATAATTCTGGTGTACATACAATGAGACCCCCAGTAGTGCTAGAGTTTGTGTACTGTGCTGGCATGCTCTAATGAGATTGGAGGGTTCTGCTCCACTTGGTGGTAAACTGATACATGACACACTAGATGTTGTAAAGGCCCTTTGGGAGGGAGTAAACAGTAGGGAGGCATCAATGGAGCATCATGGTCTGCAGAGAATGATGCAAAGAGGAATTGATTATGGCATCTGGTCTACACTGAACACTCAGAGGTGGGGCAAGACAAACATATAATCAGACCCTTATTATGGTACCATCAGAGTTGGAACTCTCTGCTTGCTGCTGACAGTGGGGAAATAGCGCTTATGCGAATGCTGTGATGTTGTCTTATAATTCATAATGTGATCTGTTGGAGTAGAGTGGAGCTTTTATTGGGGGGAGGGGGAGGAAGGCGGGGCTATCTGTGTGTAGTGATGTTCCTTTTTAAATTAAACAAAGAAAGGTCTGCTTTGAAAATGTCTTAGTACATTGTATGGAAATGGTGTCAGTGGCTTAAAGGTTACAAGCACAGTTTGTAATTCTGAAATACCAGGTCCAATCTAGGTGCAGACAGTTTGGTAGCAGACCATTTTTCATTGATTTGGACCATTCAGAAAAAAACTGGCAAACTACTGAATGTAAAATGGGGTAGTTTTGAACACCCAGTAGAGGATACAAAGCTGCAATAGAGCAAATGCATCCTCTCCGTACACTTGGCACTGAGGGAGCTGTCATGGTGTAGCGGCTATATGCTCACCTGCAGATCCGAAGGTCGTGGATTCAAATCGGAATGGAGCCAGACTTTTTTCCAAAATGACCTTAGCTCGCAGATCAAGCCAGTCTTAAATGGGTAGCAGGTAAAGTCCTGGGAAGTAAAGGCAGCTGGCATGCTGTTGATCAATCCACTGACCAAGAACCAGTTGTTCTATAAAGTATAGGTCTAGCGCTACACACCTTCAGGCGTAGAAAAGGATCCTTTACTTTTGTATATTCTTCTTCTTCTTGACGTCCTCCTTTGTGCTCTTACGGCTACTTCGATCATAGACACATCATGCTGCTGTAGAGTTTCTTTGGTGTTGTTAATTACTGATTTATTAATTAGATTGCAGACATTGTGTGGAAACAGACGATTCCTTTACTTGAAATAATGATATTAACATTAGTTGTTTTTTGTTTTCTCTTTTACAGAATCATGTACATCCTAGAGATGTGCCAGGTAGGCCGCTACTACTACAACGGCCACACAGCAGCTACAGTCCCACAGCATAAGTGAGTCATTTCGTGTATTTTTACAGTGTGAGGTCAATTTATTATGTTTGTCTCTCAACTCTGAAGATTAGGTTTAAACCCCGGTAAAGAAAATTATGCCAGAAATAGCATACATGCCTTGTCCTTGTGGCGGTCACCATACCACAGCAGCTAATTATGTTGTAAGATGGTGAAAACAGGAATTGGCAGCTTCATCTCATTATGCCTTTCTACCATAAATGTAACCTGCCACACTGAATCCCCTGAACATCTGTATTGAAAATATGGCCGCGACCTGAAATGATGTTGGGTGCAGAAGTCCACTTCCATACAAGTTTTAACATACTGAAGAAACAAAGCTCTCATTTTGTGTAGGTAATTGTTATCTACAGGGAGTCGCCGTGAACTTAGCAGCTAGATGCCCAACTGCGGATTGGAAGGTCATGGTTTTGAATCTGGACTTTAAAAAAAGAATGACCTTGACTCTCAGGTCGAACTTACTTTGAATGGGTACCAAGTGCAGAAGTAAAGGCGGCCGGCTTGATGCTGACCACATCACCCACTAAGTGCCGATTGGTCTATAAAAATATAGGTCTAGCCCTATATTCCCAATACGCATAAAGGTGTGGAAAAGAGACATTTAGTTTTTTTTTACTTTTTTAATCAAGATCTACAAGTGCCTACTGCTGTCCTCTAAAGAAGCAGCCTGTAATTAGTGAGAGGCTGAATATGGAAGTGAGACTAAACAGTCATCTGCAGGATGTGCGATGATTCTCTGGGTGAACCTAATGCAGGAGCACAATTGATCAGCCCTGCATTTATGTACCCAATGCTTGACCCCTGAGTTTTGGTTTCTTTAAGCTGAAAGATCTGATTGTGTCGTGACCTACTATAAGTGGAGAAGATCTAATTTTCCTCATTCCTATGGCAGTGTCTAACTGAGACTGCATTTACAACACATGAATGAACAGTCTCTATATATTTTGGTGCTGTAGATTTATTTTACCTTTTCAGGGTGTCAGAACCTTTAAGAAATACATTCACATTTACTTCATGTTATTATGAAAACATACCAGTTTAAATTACTCAGCTTCTTCAAATGTAATGTTATTGTGTTGATAAATTTGTCTGTTCAGGAATTATCTCAGCATGTTTTAATAATTGGAGGGCAGGAAATTTACAGTATGTGTACACATCACATTGTTATTCTTTAACTGGACAGTTATTGTGTAACCGCATAGTGTGACACATTTTTAAATTGATACATAATGTTGGAGGTTTGGCCTAGTTATATGTTTAAAATGGATATTTAATGTCAGAGGTTGGAGGTTTGCCTAGTTATATGTTTAAAATGCATATTTAATGTTGGAGGTTTGGCCTAGTTATATGTTTAAAATGCATATTTAATGTCATGGGTTGAAGGTTTGGCCTATTTATATGTTTAAAATGTATATTTAATGTCGAAGGTTGGAGGTTTGGCCTGGTTATATGTTTAAAATGCATATTTAATGTCATAGGTTGGAGGTTTGGCCAGGTTATGTGACAGCAATCAAGGAACATGAAGGAGGTCTCTTGTTGCTCTTGGATGCTTCCCATAAAGTGCTTAGGACAGAAACTGTTCATGACATTATGTAAGTTGGTTAGTTCTTTCAGAATTTATATTATCCCATTAATCTAACTTAAAACAAAACAAAAAACATTCAGAAACCTATCACAGAATACAAACTCACTGCAGCATACATAAAATATCGAATTATACAGTAGATTCACCAGACATAGAGGAAACTCGGCACATTGAGCAGTAAAGTCACAGCAGCACAGTAAAACACCACACACTACAGTCATGTATATAGCATACAGTGATTCTCAGAATCCTTGGAGAGCTCCCTACAACACAGCATCCCACTGCAAAACATCGCCTGTTGTCAGATATCAAATTCTAAACACCTCCTTTGTTATTGATTTGGTTTGTAGTTTCTTGTCCTGACAGAACCAGGTTGTTTTTTAAATTGACGTTGGCTCTCAGGTTGACCCAGCCTTTAATGGGTACCAGGTAAAGTCCTGGGAAGTAAAGGTATCAAAGTGATGCTGACCACATCAACCATTGAGTGCAGATTGGTCTGTAAAATATCGGTCCAGCCCTGTATGGAGGCGTGGAAAAGCATCCTTTACTTTTGTTAATGATTGATTTGCTGACATTGCTTTCATTATACGCTACTATAAGATCTATCTCTCAGCAGATGCCGAGATTTGAAGATAATGATTGTCCTAGCCATAACATAGTAATGACCAAACACGCCATCTGTCATCTTTAATTTCCATGCCTCTGTTCATACAGGTGGCAAGCTGCATTCATATGTTAAAAAATGTCCCCCTGTGGGTTCCTGGGCCCTATTGTAGGGAAAACAAGAATAGACCCACTGCCTGTCGTAAGAGTTGAATAATTGGGAGCTTCCTTTTAAGTTGGAGTAGATCTGCCTGAGAGGCAAGGAACAAACAGTCTGCATACAAATTAGTCAGATTTGTCAAACGGATGCAAATGCAACACTCAGGTTCTGGAACAAGACTGCAGCCCAGAAGTGGACAAACAGTCAGAACTTTCCACTGGAGTTTACAGCCATTAAATGTGAAGAAAAAGAAGATATGTTGAAAATTCCATGACATTTGGAAATTTGATACATGTAGCCCAATAGGTTTTGGTTTTGTCAAAATTGTAATGAAAGAAAACCTGCCCTTAATAGACACAAATTCTTGACTCCCCTGTGGGTTCCGGGGTCTCATTTTTGAGAAGATAAATAGAGCCACTGCCTCCCCAACAAGCGTTTTGTTCAAGGCGACTAATTCTGGATATTTTCTTCCAAGTTGGAGTTCCTCTGCTTGATAGGTGAGAAACCAACAGTCTGCACACAAATGAGTCTGATCTGTAAAATGGATGTGCATGCCAAACTCAAGTACTGGAATAAGCCAAAAGTCCAGAAGTGGGTGTACAAATAGAACTTTCTGCTGGAGTTTACAGCTGGTGAATGCGAAGAAGAATCCATTACAATCTGCCAAAAGGAAGTAACATTACTTAATGCATGGCGAATACAGTGTACACACTGATTTAAATTGGAAAGGTAGATAACCAGGTGTAACACATGTAAGTATTTATAGGTTCATGATTAGGGTCTTTGGTCTTTCATTTTCAGGGAGAAGACTGCCATCACAAATACACAAGGGTTTCAGGATGAGATCATCCGCAGAGTTGTTGGCTGTACAGTGCTGACACGTTACAACAACAAAACATACAGAGTGGATGACATTGTGTGGAGCAAATCACCCATGGATCGTTTTGAATGCAAAGCAACAGGAGAAAGTATGTCCTTTGAAGAATATTACAGGTAAGGTCATATATGAAACTTCTTGGAATGATTACATTTGGAAAGGGGGGGGGTCAAGTGGTTGAAATTTTCTAATTATCTATATTATTGAGAATTGACCCTTATGTTGAGCACAGTATTATATGTTTTTTTTTATTCTTTTTTCACAAACAGGAAGCAGTACAATATTATAATACATAACAAGACCCAGCCTCTACTGCTTAACAAACGGAAACCTCCCAAAGGAGCACCAGTAAGTGTCATTAGCGTTAATGTTATTTCCACACATTGGTGGGGGGGGGGGGGGGGGGGGCAAAAAAGACAACAGACTGCACATTAGCATAATAAAACAAGCAAAGGATGCATTTTATAAATTAAACAACAACATATGGGATGAGCTCTTGTCATTATGTTCCCCAAAAATTGCTTATATGTTACATAGTACCAATTTTAATGTGACTATTTGACAATAAATAAACAGGCAAAAATGAAATGTCTTCAAACTACAGAAATGAAGCTTCAGTAGAGCAATTTAAAAATAATTTGGATAGCTAAAATGAATAATTTTAAATTGGCAGCCAGCATCTTTTGACTACTTTGTGAAAAGAGAAAAAGTGAAACATATTTGTAAACAAGTGAAAAGATTAATAGTAATTTTTAAAAAGAAAAAATTGAAGACAACAAGCAAATTCTTGAAAACCTTTCATACCAAACTAGGAAAATGTTGACAGATAGATTGGTACATTTGTTGTCCGAAATCAGATGAGGGTGGAGATGCATGATTGTCCCTGCCAGACCGTTTGATATAGAATTGTATAAAGTGTTTGATATCTAATTATGCTCATTGGGTGACAACTATGGTTCTTAAGGTTGCAAAAATTGGCTTTCTGGTGATCATCAAAGCTAGCAGAACGTTAAAGCATGATTAAGACATATACACTTTTTGCAGGATGACAAGCATCACTCTGGTCACTGGTAGTGAGCATCTTTTTGGATATTTTCTCTAAGGTGTGCTGAGGAAAGCAGAGGCAGACAGAATGGCAGCTTCTGCACCATTATGTGTATCTGGCAAGGTGTATGCGGTCAAGGCCCTTAGAGAGTATGTACAAAATGTGGAAGGGCGAATAAATCATCCTGGTTTGGAGAGAGTAGAGCACCTTGGAGGGACTAGAAGATCTGGCCAGCACTCAGAGGAAAGGCAAGACAGACATATAATCATAGCCCAACTTCTACTAGAAAGTCTTGTTAACCAGCAGAAGACTGGCACTATTACTTATGGGACTCTGAAGTATATGTTGAAGGGGAATCTAAGAAACTATTGACATGCCCAGAGTGCCATGAAGATAACCCAGCTCATAACTCACATAACTAATACCATTGGTATTTGAACACTGCACTGGTTGGGAGTCACCGTTGCCGAGCGGCTAGACACTCGCCGCGGATCGGAAGGTCATGAGTTCGCTCCCTGGCGGTGCCGTACTTTTTAAAAAAATTGCCTTGGCTCCCAGGTCGACCCAGCCTTGAGTGGGTACAGGGTGCAGTCCTGGGAAAGTAAAGGCGGCCGGCGTGATGCTGACCACATCACCCATCTTGTGCCGACTGGTCTCTAAAAATATAGGTCTAGCCCTATATCCCCTATACGTGTCCGTCTCTCTAGCGTAGTTGGCTAAACCGGATTGCACGGTGAGCGGGTGACGAACTCCTTGTGGTCCGGGTTCAATCCCGGTGGTGGGCAGAGAAGCCACATTTCTCCCAGATTTACGGTATTTAAAAAGGAATCAAGGCCGAAAGGTTGCGATATCCATAATACCGAGCCTAAGGGTTAACAACTCATGGCTTCTGGATACTAAAACAAACGAACAATTCTTATCCTCATTACACTAGAAGGATCAGTTACGTGTTCACATCTGCCCGACATGCCCATGGAGGTAGGTATGTGATGGTTCTATTTCAAGATTGCTGTCGAAACTACCACCCCATTTTTACTTACTCTGCACTGGTTGATAAAGATTGGGGAAAAAGAGCACTTACAGGAATATTTTGAGTGCATTGTTGTCGGTTCGTAAATCAGCTCAACATAAACATGAATTTGATGTATTGTTTTTCCTTCCTTGTTTCTGTTACTGACCACAGCCGGGAACAAAGCCAGACCCAGAGTTTTTGTGTCTGATCCCAGAGTTGTGCTACATGACCGGTTTGACTGAAGACATCCGCAAGCAGTTTACAGTGATGAAGGTCAGTGTACAATTGTTCATTTACTGTATGTTTGAAGATCATTACATATGATTGGGAGCTTTGGTGGTGCAGTGACTGACACTTGGCCTACTGACCTGGTTATGTTCAAACCCCTGTTGAGGCTGTAGGGGATAGGTGCAGCCACATACATGTTCTGGAGAATACAACATTGAGAAGCTGCAATCTCTTCCACAGTGCAGCTCTCTCATACCATAACTCAAAGGCACAAGAGTGGTCTTTCTCTAAACCGCTTACTGCGGAAATGAAACAGTGGTACATGGAGCACATTTACCAACTTCTAGGCCACAGAGTCATGTGGTGAGAAGGAGAAAAGCTGGAGTACATCATGACAGTTGGAGGCGAGGAGAGGCAGAGGAACAGATGCTAGACAGTTTGACATCATGTCATGGAAGGTCATCTGTTTCAGAGTTGATTAAAGGTACACGGGACAGAAGTTTGTGGATAGACATGACTACCAACACCACCCGGCATGGACTGTAAAAAGAAGTCCACAGAGCTAAATACAGTCTCTTTGTTCATTAAAAAACAAAGTGTCACTTAAAGCCAGATAGGTTACACACACACACACACATATATATATATATATATATATATATATATATATATATATATATATATATATATATATATATATATATATATATATATATATATATATATATATATATATATATATACACACACACATACAAACATACACACACATAAACGCATACCCACTCACAAACAAGTGTGTATAAATACATATATATGAACACATATAAAATCAATGACCAAAGTGATATGTTAGACGACCTGAAAATAGCTTACAATAATGGAGGTCAGTATTCTAGTTAGTTTACATCATTAAGAAATAGTTTACATTATGTTTCTCCCCTTTTCTTTCCACCACCACTTTCTCCATTTCTTTCTATTTGCAGACTTCTCGCTTTCTCTCCTTGTGGTTTACAGTTCAGTTCATGGTATGCTTGTTATTTATACTCTACAGGATTTAGCAATTCACACACGTGTGACCCCGGCTCAGAGGAAGCTTGCCATGAAGAAGTTCATCAGCAGTGTCAACAGTAGCCCTGAGGCCCAAGCAGAACTGGCCATATGGGGCCTGCAACTGGACGGGTCAACTATCTCAGTAAGTGTTTAGTTTGATGTGGAAGATTACTGTTATTTTTTGTTCATTTACCAATAAAAAGGCGCTTGGTATTACATGGTTTACTAGATGGCTGTGATGTCTGCACTATTTGTTTGGCTTAATGCATGAGTTTTCAGCAAACACATAATTAGTCGCCTTTTATGTCATACTTATGAAGTGGCTGTTGGTGTATTCTTTCCCCACCCTCCAAAGTGGTACTCAGAATCCACACAAGGACACAAGGAAGAAGAGTGTTTGAAATTTGTCACTCAGTTACAGCAAGGAGTTCACAACCGGTGAATCTAAAAAAAAAATAAGAAGTATTACTTTTTAAAAACACAACTAGCTTGTCTAATGGGTAGTACATGTTTTCTCCATTTGTTAAATGTTAGAATGGCATTTGTCACCAGGGGGGTTAACAGTGAGTAGATATTGTATTCTTTGAGTGTATATAATATTCTATTCCCTCCCCTCCTAGTAAGCTAGACTTGTAAAACAGATACACACACAAAATTTGTCTTCTGGAACAAATCTAGAAGTAAATGAACCACCAGAACTTTCTGCTGAGGTTGTTAATCGGTGAACACTAAGGAGAAGGATCACTCATAGTATGCATCAAAGGTGACCATTTACAGACACAACCAGTTTGTCTTTTGTATAGCACAGTCCAGATGACGTAAGCCGATCTTGTATATGGTGAGTTTCTATTGTGAAGAACAGTTTATTTATCCCTAGTAATTTTTCTTGAAATCTTATTTGGAATTTTATTCCTCTTAAGAGGAAATTCTTATAAAAAGAACTTTTTATTGGGTCCTAGGTGAGTTCTCTTTATCAGGTCTGCACTTGACATGTTTCTTCCATTTGTTAAATGTTAGGTTGTCATTTGGAAGCAGGTGAGATTGCAGCTAGTAGATAGAGATTACGCACTCTTAGTATGTGTTGTGGATGCATTCAGCACTCGGAAACTAGAACCTATTTTTTTTTTTTTTTGTCTGCTAGATTGCAGGTCGGCAGTTACCCCAGGAGAAGATCATAATGGGGAGGAAGGGGTTTCCTGCAGGACCTCAGGCAGACTGGTCTCGGGAAATTGGACGCAACGAATTGATTTGTCCTGTCAATCTGGTGAACTGGGGGTTGTTCTACACCCGCAAGGATTCTGGGCGAGCAAATGACTTTGCCAGGCTCATGCTATCAGAAACTCGAAACTTGGGCATTAGCTGTCAGGCACCTTTCAGACGTGAGTTGGTCAATGAGAAGATAGACACTCTCGTGCAGGAGCTGAGGCATTCAATAAATGATCGGGTGAGAGATTTATGTTTGTTGCTAGATAATTTGCCCTGAATAAATCTGCTTATCATTGGTGAATTCATCATGCAATTGCTGTTACATGTTTTTTTTTTTGGGTATATATCTGTCTTTGCCGTTTATTGGACAGAGAATAAATACCTAGTATATTATAACCACACATCATGGGAAGTGTATTTTCTCCAAACATCATGGGATGTGTATTTTCTCCAAACATCATGGGAAGTGTATTTTCTCCAAACATCATGGGATGTGTATTATGTTTCTTGATGAGGTCCTTGTTTTGTGTTTGTGTCTGTTGCAGGCAATTTCTAGCCTTTACACTGTGTCGAAGCCATAGCTTCCCAGTTTTAAATTAACCTGGGCTCCCAAGGCATGGAAACAAAGCCTCTAGTTTGTTTTCACTGTGGCAAGAGCAAGTAATTTTTATTCCATAGCTCAGAAAAGCTTCCCAGCACACGTCAGAACCCTTTGCCCTCCTGAGGAGTGCTGGTTACACCTGTAGCCATTATGGATGCGCTAATTGTGGTCCAGATAGAGATTTGTAAATCTCATGATGGTATGGTAAACCTTTAGGTAGCAGCTCAGAGGGGAAACTCAGTTGATCACATGCCAGTTGTAAGATGTTGTAATGATAGTTTTAAAATGGTTTCAGTGGTGATATTTAGGTAATTTATGACGAATATGTCTGCTAGGGGTTAACGGATATTGTTTACGCTACAGTGTTTAGAAATGTGACACTTATTGCTGTTATTTTTCAGGTCCAGCTTGTTGTGGTCATTAACCCCACTAACAGGGATGACCGCTACTCTGCTATCAAGAAAGTTTGTTGTGTGGAGTCACCTGTCCCATCTCAGGTCAGTCTGCAAGTTTTCAGAAAGCTCATATTTATTCAGACTAGTCAGTGCTGATGTTTGAAAATTTGTTTTCAGATTCAGACTTGCTAGTGCTAAGAGTTGGCTTTGACAGAATCATTCTGTAGAAATAATTATGCTGTCATATATGATCGAGTACTGCTTCAGGTTGTTCTGGCTGTCTCGACCATAGACACATCTAACCGTTGTAGAGTTTCTCCAATGCTGTGTTTCCATCTTGTTCTTGGTCTCCCTCATGATTTATGTTCTTCTCCTCTTTTGGTGTGTGCCTTGAATGGTATGGCCATTTTGTTTGCTGTCTTGGTATGCTTCGGTTGATATTAAAGTACTGCTTCAGTTGTATTGATTGATTTTAAAATATTTATTCATTTCTTTTTTAAATAGTTTGACGCGGGAGCTGCATATTTTCTGTGTTAATTGTCATGTACTGTTTAATTTCTGTCTTAGCAGATTAGTTTCTTTTTCTTCTTCGCGTTCATCAGCTGTAAACTATGGCAGAAAGTTTTAGTTGTTCGTCCACTTCTGTACGATTTTCTTCTTCTTCTGAATGTCTGCTTCTTTTCTCTTTCACATTTGGCCTTCCATGTTAATGTCTCGAATAAAAGCAGTAGTTTTAGGTTTATGAGTCCTGTACAATTTTGGAAGGGATGTGTTCGGATGATGCTAAATTTGTTTTAGCTACTGTAAGATAGAGAGCTGTAGTAGTGCTCTGGCTAGACACTTGCCAGCAGGCCCAAAGGTCTTATGTTCAAATCTACACCAGGAGATTGGGGGGGGGGGGGAATTGACTATGGATCCCAGGCCGACACAGCATATGGCACCAGGGTATGTCCTAGAAATTAAAGGTTGGCACTGTGATGTTGACCACCTCGCCTATCAAGTTTCCATTGGTCGATACAGATATGAGTATACACTTACCCATTGTGCCGTGTGCTGAAAGGGTTTAAAATGATCATTTATATTTGGGAATATTGTTAAAGTTCACCAACAGTGAGGATGTGATTGTGCAATGAAAATTGAAAAGCTCTACGTCTTGCATGTATTTATGAAAAGTTTTCAAACCCTTGTCACTGTTGGGAATATACATAAGGGAAAATCTGAGAGCCCTGCTGCTAATACACAATAAGATATCCTAGTTATTGTCTGATTTGCAATATTCCGGTTAATTTTTTTTGTTTCGTCACATTGTGATATTCCAGTTATTTTCTGTTTTTACAAATTGTTGACGCAGTTTAATTGAAATAAATGACTTATTGTATCATATTTTCTGATTGCTTAGGTAATCATTTCTAAGACCATATCAAAACCAGACAAAATGAGAAGTATTGTTCAGAAGATTGCTCTTCAGATTAACTGCAAGCTTGGAGGTGAATTATGGTCTGTCAAGATTCCATTGGTGAGTGGGAAGTATGATTAGGGGGAAAATATTAAAGTCAGTTTGAAATTATTAAGAATACATGTTTAATTCTGAATTCAAACTATGGTACAAATCCAGAATAAATGAGACAGTTTCCACAACTGATGCTATCTACTGTGAACAATATGGTTGAATGATCCTCTGTGGGGAATTTACATCGTAGATCTAAGTTGTCCTGGTCAACCTCCGCTATGATACAAAGATGTGTGCAAGTAGAACATGAATGAATCGAGTTGCACGGAGAAGACAATTATGAAAGGAAACGGAGACAGATCAAATGGGGAGAAAAGGTATTCAGACCGATGAGGAGCTGTACATGTGAGAAGATACATGTAGTGGCAGCAGTGATGTTGAAAGTTCACACACTTATTGTGGAAGATTTTTTCTTCAAAACACAAGCTGGTCTTGCTTGCAGCACGGGCTGTGATTTCCAAGCCTCCCTCTGAGACAGTAAAAGAATACTATTATCCTGCAAAGAAAGTACTTTCTAACACACTATCTTGAACAACTTTATATATATTATATCCATATATATATAGATAAGAAATATATATATTATTATATATATATATATATATATATATCAGTCATATATATATATATATAAATCAGTCAGTCAGGTGCTGTCTCCACAATGAAGGTTGGCTCCATCACAATCAGTCCCTTGTCTTGGTTGTAGTACACGCTCTCAGGCTGCTGTTTGTCCATCTCTTGATGTTGTCTCCCCCTTGTATCATTGTCTATATTATGCTGTCTTGTCCTTAACATTTCCTGCAGCATGGTTTTTTTTAAAAAGAGTTTTAATTCGGCCAAAATATGCACTGAGCCGATATTTTGTAGAAGAAAGATGAAGACACCATGTACAGAATGAAAGCATGATAAAATGAATGAATGAAACTTCCTGTGTGGATTCCAGGACTCTGATATGGTGAAACAAGAACAGAACAACGGTCTCCCTAACTTGCATGTTGTATGAGTCGACTGATTGAGAGGATCCTTTGAGGTTGGAGTACATCTGCCTGAGAGGCAAGGAATCAAGAGTCTGCATACAAATAAGCCAGATTTGTAAAACTGATGCCACACAACACTCAGGTTTTGGAAGACTAAAGTCCAGAGGTGGATAAACACCCAGAACTTTCTGCCTGCGTTTAAACCCAGTGAACGCAATGAAGAAGAAGAATGAAATAAACTCACCCAAAATTTGTTTTTTAAAAACGCTTATATCTGGAAAGATAGAAAAGTGCTAAAAATCTTAACCATAAATATTTTTTTTTAAACCAAATTCTGCACTTGCTGACACTAATAGATCTTTGCTTTCTGCATGTTTCACACAGCAAAAACTGATGGTGGTTGGCATTGACACTTACCATGACAACGCCAGGAGCAAACAATCCATCGGAGGCTTCGTGGCTAGCATGAACCAAGATTGCACCCGGTGGTACTCTAATGTGTGCTTCCAGCGACCAGGCCAAGAACTAGCACATGGCCTGCATATATGCCTGACTAATGCTCTCAGGAAATACCATTCCGTAAGTTCAGGCAGATGTCTTTACAGTAATTACAAGTAAAGTAGGGAGACTTTTCCCATAATTTTAGGCACTTTTGATAGTTAATAAGGTGGATTCATCAAGCAGAATGCCAAGTATCATTTTGTAGGGAGGGGAAAATTGAGAAAGGACTAATGACACAGGAGAATATGATTGTAGGTGATTAAGAGCTGAGAGGTTAAGAAGTTAGTTAATTGCATATCCTTTACTGCATGTTGCCAGAACCAAACCCATCACCGTTATGTTTTTGGCTGTTTGTGGTTTTACTAGGTAATATTGCATTCAGTAGTTTGCCATTGTAGCTGAATGGTCGGCTCTTGATACTACTGTTGAAAGAATTACAAGGCGGTCTGCTGCCAAAAGGCCCAGACCTAAAATTGAACTCAGCAGTTTGTAATTATAAAGCGAGTTTACAACACCTAAACCACAGATGCTGAAAGCTTGACATCAAATACACATGCCGGTGGCACTCTCCCTGGCCTCACCATTGTATATATTTCTGTCATCTCTGTCCAGTCACCTTTGCTTCTTGGTGTCAGTTTTTAGTTGGGTTGACCTCAGAGTCCAGGTCAGTTTTCAAAACCTCAGGCTTTCTGAGGGTCGAACACATAGCCAGCAGGCAAACATATGAGCTTACTTTGGCTTCCTCATAAGTATAAAAAAGTATGTCATCAGCCAGCTTTATTCCACTGAGAAACTATTCCACACAAAATCTTTCACTATCTCATTTAAAATCTAGTGACAGTTACTGTTGACAAAATCTATATATATGCTTGCGCATTATATGCATAGGCAGAAGGTAGGTGGGTCAACACAACTATTGTCACTAGAATTACAGTTTGTCATTAATGGAAGTCGTCAGTCATGATAATTTGGCTGGTATACGAATAAAATTATTGCGTAAGGCATATCGCCAGTCTGAACGCAAAACTGGCTGTCCATAGTTTCATGAATATCGTGACACAGACCTTTGTGGGTGCAGCTGAAAGTCATTCCAACAAATACACAGCTCACAGTGCTGCACCAGCCACTCAGCTCCACAGCTTATGGCTTCCAGTCCATGTGTGGAAACTGCATTAACAAACCATGTCAGAAATAAGCACTGCAAAATTTTAATGAGCTGCCTTCTTATCCGCCAAATTCCATCAGAATTCCTAATTAGGAAAGACATCAGTTCCAAATTGAAACCTTTCTTTCTTCCCTTAGGTAAATCATTTTCTTCCAGAGAAGATTGTCATCTACCGTGATGGTGTTGGAGACGGCCAGCTGAATGTCCTGGCAGACCATGAAGTCAAACAGCTACACAGAAGCTTTTCCAGTTTTGGCGACTATTCACCACAGTGCACCACTGTGTGTGTGCAGAAGAGAATAAACACAAGAATATTTAAAAAGGTTAGTAGGTACATCTGTTAAAGAAATGAGTTAACGCAGCTAGAATTAATAACAGGTAGGTGTTGTGGTTTCTATGCCCACATTGGGTTCAAGATTGCAACCCCCCACATCAGGGAAGAGGCTGCATGGTCTCGAGGCATGGTGTCCACCTTGAGTGCTGGAGGTCCCAAGTTCAAGCCCTGGTGAAGGCTGGGAGTTTTTTTTTCCACATGGATTTCTAGTAATTTCCCCTGGTCTCTGGTAGTAAGATCGGATGCCAATGTGTAATGTTGCGTAAAACATCCCTTGGCAGTTGGAAATCGAAAACAGAAGCCTAACAGTCCTTCCCGGGCGATATTTTGAGTTAAAAATCTACCCCAAAATATTTCAGGATCCTCGCCGGTGCTGCAGAGTATGTGCACTGCGCTGAGAATCTTCGAACTCAGGTTGAGTTAGAAGTAGAACGGAGCACTTATGGGTAACTACTCCTTGTGCCATGATGTTGATCCATCACCTAAACCTAAACATTGAGTTTAAGGTTACTAGTCAAGACTGGGATCATGTGAGATTGCAAATCATGATCACCCAGACTTATTTAGTGGCACATAATGATGACCTTATCTGAATATATAGACTTACTGATAACCACACTTTTTTATCACATTGTTACTTAATCGAAGGTGACTGGTAAATTGTTATCCACAAAAGCTGCCTGTGGGATAGCACCTCACCTGAATGATATGCATAGCTTTTGTACCTTTGTGACAGTTGTTGAGCAATAAATGTTTCTTTGGTTCAGGAAAGAGATGGAGAAGTGGGGAATCCATTGCCAGGTACTGTTGTGGATCACACGGTGACAAGAAGAGACAGGTAAATATTTGTTCAGTTCTGTGTGAAGCTTGCTTTTTCTTGATTGTCTGTGTACTTGATACTGATGGTGTGACACCCTGAATTATTATTCTTGTTCTCCAGTTGTAAACTCCCGTAGAAAGTTCTGGTTGTTCATCCACTTGTTTCAGAACTTGAGTTTTGTGTGTACATTAGTTTTACAGATCTGGCTTTTAGCAGACTGTCGGTTCCTGGCATCTCAGACAGAGGCACTCCAATTCGAAGGAGACATGCTCATTGGGTGGGGGGGGGGGGGGGGGGGCTCCCCATCTCTAAAAAGGGCCTGGGAACCCACACAGAGACCTCAAATTCATTTAGTGTGAGCTTATTGGATTACCATAAGCCACTTCAATAAATGTGCTTTTTACTGTAGTAATTCTGTATTCAACTCTAGCAGCAATTGCAGAAGTGTGTATTCAACTTTAGCAGAAGTGCTGTATTAAACTTTAGCTGTTATGTTAAATTCAAACAAGATTGAACCATTTCACCTCATAAGAATCTTTTTTTTTTAATGTACCTTTTTTCTCTCAAAAGAAATGCATCCTTATAATTCTCTGACAGCATTGGCACCTTTCCGTCTTTCCAGACAATAGTGTTATATTGCGCTATGAGGAGGCATGAGACTCAAAACCCATGGCGATGGCGAGTATGACTAGCAAGACCCGCCCGTGTTAAGAAAAGTCTTCCACAATGATAGCATGGGATTTCAGGACCATTGTTAACAACATTTGTTTTTAATCCGAAAGTTTCTGAGACCGGTTAAGGCCAGGGATGAAGTTTCTTCTCTCCATAGCACAAAGCCTGGGCAGTATTGTAGAGACCACTTGTTGCCCATGCGTAATGATCCCTCCCTCGACCTGTCTTGTTTACTCCAAAGGAAAGGGGAAACCAGTACGTTTGGAACGAGGCAGGTTGCAGAAGCTGCCGGATCAGAAGAGCAGTGCTCTATCTGTCCGCCTGTCAGAGCTTTCCTCCTAGACCAGCTGCCAGCCAAGGCGAAGGGCCTGTTCTGCCCTGCCATAACATAACGTTTTCAGGTTGCATTTTCTCTTCCTAGAATAAGGCTAGTATCCTCCCCAATACGCTCCTCCGCCCGAAGCCGTTGGCTCAATATGGGATGTTGGGTTAGTATACGCCGCCCAACATTCGGCGTAACAGAAGACAGGTGGTACGGCTACTGTTATACGGTAGCTCAGTTATATCTTACCAAAACCTGACCTATATTTCTGACACTGCCCTAAGAAATTAGCAGACTCAAAAGAAAATTTGGCATCTTGGGCATTTTTTTTTTTTTAAACCAGTGGGTAAAAATCAATGACCACCAAGCAGGCAGGCAAACAAGCTAGCCATTGCGACATCATGGCCTTCAAAACACTAAAATAATTTAAATTTTTTTTTTTTACTGTTATGAGCGAAGTAATTTGTTGAAGTTCTTCTTCTTCTTCTTTCCACCTTGTACCTTTATCGAAGTGTCGGGGGGAGATGTAGTGTTCGTTGATGAGCTCTGTCAAGAGCACTATTAAGACTGATGTTCATTTCTGTAAGGCTGTTCTTAATGCCATCACTCCATATTTTCCGAGGTCTTCCACTCGCTCTATACCTGTTGTAACGTTTTAGTGTGGCTCGCTGTGGTGGATAGTACCAGGGCATTCTTGTCCAAACCACTTCATTTGTTGTTTTTTGATGACCTGTAAGACTGGCTTTATTACTAGCATTCGTCTGATTTCATGATTTCGTATTCTGTTTTTCTTTGAAACTCCTGCAGCTCTTCTAAGGCATTTCATCTCTGTTGTCACAATTTTACGTTCATTGGAGGATGTAAGTGGCCACGTTTGGCATTGATAGCATAGTGTTGGCCAAAAAATAGTTCTGATAAGATTCATTTTAGTACTCCGCGGTATCTGCTTGTGTGTCAGCAGGGGCGATAGTTGACCCATTACTTGATTTGCTTTGGCACATCTGGAGCTAATTTCTCTGTCCAGTTTTCCGTCGGATGTAAAAATTGCTCCCAAATACTTAAATTCCTCTGTTTACCTCAGGGTGTTGTTTTTTAATTTAATTTCTAAATTGTCTTTGTTTTATTTATTGTTTAAGTAAGGAAATTAATCACTAAATATGAACAGAGCACAAGATTAACTAATTTCTTTCCCCTTGACCATGATAAACATGTTTTTGTTGACAAAGCCATGCTGAGCAAAGCCACAACTTAGATTATTATGATATACAACTGCAGTAAAATGTTTTTAAATTGCAGTTAATTTTCCACCGTGAATAGTATCTTACCTTTGTGGATAATATAATATCCCTAATATAATCCTGTAATGGGGAATGTCATCTTCGCAAGCCTAACTCTTTGGGTCCAGTGCAGTGCTTAATGTATTGGTGCTTCTTCTCCTTTAACCCAAACCACAAAGTATTGTATTCTTGAACAAACGTTATCAATTTTCTAAGTGTATCTAGTCTGCTAAAGATACATCCAGTGGTTGGTTGAATTTTTTTTTTTTTAAACACTCTTTGAGAATTTGCTGTGAAACTTCCTGGTATGAGAAGAGATGAGACCTGCAAAATCATCTCATTAGGACTTACCAAGGCAACTGCAATTAAATGTTTAAACAGATATATCAGGCTAAATTTTTTAATTTGCTCATTTTGTATGATTCACAAAAATGTTATATGCATCTAAATGACCCTTAGCGGAAACAATAATCCTTGTTGTTGTTTCAATGCTGACCTGCTTGTCCGCAGGTATGACTTCTTCATTGTCTCACAGCATGTCCGCCAGGGCACAGTCAGCCCAACTCACTATATCGTGGTGGACGATGGTGTGGGTTTGCAGCCAGGCTTGATGCAGAGGCTGACATATAAGATGACACACTTGTACTACAACTGGCCAGGCACAGTTAGGGTGCCAGCTCCTTGTCAGGTCAGTCTCCTGTCTGTGACATGATTACAGTTAACTCATCTCTTGCCAACTTATACTGATTTATGGCCTAAAGCTTTTTACTGTCTAAATTCATTATGGAAACCAAAGGACAGCTGATCAATGTCATATTGTACCAGCTCTTTTTTTTTTCACCAGTGTCAGATCTGGTTATGAACCAAGGCAGATCACATGTAAAATGAAATGTCTGAGAACACAGTATTGACTGCTTGGACAAAGAATAAGGTATTCAGTTATATAATGTTAATGGAAAGTTCAAAATGACCATGTATGCCTACAGATGTTGAAGAATGGGTTACAGAGCATGAGGCAGACCAAGGAGCAGATATGTTTGCATAGATACAGTTTCAATGGCCAGTTTCATTTTCAGTTCTTTGTTTTTTTGTGAACTATTACACACCATTAGTAATATTTAGAATGTACATAACATATGACATTTCATTTGGAGGTGGGAGGGGGGTCTTTTAATATTGTTGAATTACTGTTTTTTACTCTTCATATTCTATTTTTGTTTCACTTTTCTGCATCATTTATTATTTCATAGTAAAGCTAGTAGAAATGTGTTACTTGTTCTAGTATGTATCATTTATCTTGATTTTCATTGTTTTCTTGTTTCAGTAACAAATTTCAAGTATCTCTTAATATGCTTTCTTCATTGTTAAGCCGTTTAAAAAAAAAGTAATATATTTCTACTATCTGTCTGTGTCCTTTTTTTAAACAGTGTATTTCAGTGACATATGTGTTGTTTTTTCAGTATGCTCACAAGCTGGCTTACTTGGTGGGAGAGAGTATTCACAAAGAACCAGCAGAGTGTCTATCAGACCGCCTTTTCTTCTTGTGAGAGACAAAGAACAAGCTAACACAGGTACACAAGAAATGACACTATGTCACAGTAACATATTTCTCTAGTATTTCTGCCAAATGTTTACCTTACACATGCTAGAATAGTTATCACTCAGAACATTCACACACGTGCTCTGTCTTCTTTCGTGCTCTGTCTTCTTTCTCAGCCAGCTAATAGTACCGGTTGAAACCTGATCAAAAGTCTGCCTTTGCTTTCCCCTGAGCGTTCAACACATAGATATTACGGATCAGACTCTTTGGCTACTTGTGCCCACACAAAAAATATTGGTTATATTGTTTTATGTTCTTGCTTAGGGGTCATGAACACAGTTTCATAATCCTTGCTAATGGAGTTTGAAGTCAGTAGCAGATGGCTTGTAAGCAGATGGCATTGTGTTAATTATGACACTGTTGTGAGCAACATAGTTCAGAGAGCTGTGGCAAACTGCTGAATGGGAAATTGCATATAAGAACCACACAGCAGCCAGTAAATTCTGGGGTTCGTTTGTGGTGTCCTGAAATGGATGTGCATTTTAACCTCTTATTTTTAAATTGTTCTCTGGTACTGGGAGAATTGACCATAAAAAAAGTTATTTTGTGACTTTCTGGACAAAATATGAATCCTTCATGTGACAGTGAGATAATTAATTAGTCAAGGAGTTTTAAAAAAAAAATATGATATTGTTTTTTGACAACAGAATAAAATAATACAACAAACAGCACTACTGCCCTAGAGCAAGAGGCAGACCGAGAGTACGATGGATAGACAATATATCAGAGATCCTGAGGCAACACGGACTAACAACAACACGTGCAACACACCTGGCCCAGGATAGAAAACTGCGACTCCCCACTACGCTGTGAGGCAATTGTGGACAAGACAAGACAAGACAATAAAATAATTCAACTCTCTTATTTCTTAATGTGATAATATTGTTATTGTCTTGTATTTTAACTCAACAGACCGAGCATTAAGTAAAGTATAGAGTATATAACATGTTATTTTAAAATATACCATCCTTGTATATATTGTGGAAGCCACTGCAGTATAGTGGCTAGACGCTCGCCTGCGGATCGAAAGGTCATGGGTTCGGGTCCAGATGGAACCAGACTTTTTTCAACAGTGACCTTGGCTCCTTGGATGGGTACCAGGTACAGTCCTGGAAAGTAAAGTGATGTGACCACATCAGCTGCCAAGCGCCGAATGGTCTATAAAATATAGGTCTAGCCCTATATGCCTGAAGGCGTCAAAAAGGTTGATTTACTTTACTGTTGTAGTGATATATTACCTATTAGTTAGTTAGTCTTTCTTCTTGTGTCGAGTGCGGCACATAGGGCAGAGGTCATGACTCTCCATGCATGGCGGTTCGTTGCAATCCGTTGTAGGTCTTGGATGTTTGAGTGGCCCATGAGCGAGCCTTCCCTGATGACGTAGGGTTTCCCTTGGTCTTCCACGAGATCTTTTCCCCTGTGGTGTCCAAATGAGGGCTTGGTAAGGAAGTCTTGATTTATCCATTCTAAGGGCGTGGCCGACATAGTTCCAGCAGCGTTTTCGTATAAAATTAGACACATACTCTTGCCTGGATTCTTGCCTTATTTGTGTATTTGTTCGGAAATCTGACCATTTGAAATTTAGTATTCTTCTAAGGCATTTATTTTCAAAACTGTCTAATTTTGTGTGTAGAGTTTTCGTTGATTTCCAGCTCTCGCATCCATAGGTTAATACTGGAATCACACAAGAATTGAAGATCTTGAGTTTTGTGTGTTTGCTAAGTGTCTTTGATTTCCAGATGTTAGACAGTTTATTGAAGGCACTAGATGCCAGTTTGGTATTTCTGGTGCGGTATCTCCTGTAGATGACATCTTGCTCCCTAGATAAGTGAAACTGTTGACTTTTTCAAGGCTGTTGTTGTTCAGCGTGATATCAACTGAACTGTTGGTAAAGTCTAGAATTTTTGTTTTTGCGGGGTTAATTTGGAGTCTAATTTGTTCTGAGAATTTCTGGTGTCGATTGATTTTTTCTTGGGCATCTGTGTGTTCTGAACTCAGGAGTGCTATGTCGTCGGCGAAGTCTAGGTCTTCCAGAATTTTGTCAACCCATGTAATGCCTAAATTTGCGTTATTTATGCACTTGCGCATGACCCAGTCGATTGCTATACCAAAAAGCATCGGCGATAGGACACAGCCTTGCTTCACTCCTGTTTCCACCGGGAACCAGTCAGAATTGCCGGAATCAGTTCTTACACAGCATCGTGTTTCATTATAAAAAGATTTTATGATGTTGATATATTTGATGGGGAATCCATAGATGTTAAGCAATTTCCAGAGTGTTGGACGATGGATACTGTTGAAGGCTTTTTGAAAGTCGACAAAGTTGATCAATAATTTCGACTGGAATTCTGTAGAATCTTCAACAATTATTCTAAGTCAGAAATCTGATTCTATAACAATTGGTGGTTTTGCGATGACAGCTTGTCGGACCGTCGATCAACCGATATGCGCCGAGCTAGAGAGAAACACGTCCCGCCATCTTGACACAAACCCATATTACCTATACTTGTCCTTTTTTTTGTCTAAGTATCATAATTTTTTTTTTTTTGTACATTTTTTTGGGTAAAATATGATTTTGTATTCACAGATCTGTAAATACAGTACAAGAAATGTTATTTCATCTTGCCAGCACACCTGCTCACTACAGTGGGAGTCCATAGTTCACTATTTCATGAGGTGCCTTACTTCAACCTGATTTGTTCATGCCGAAGCCCTGAAAAACGGTTCAAGAGGAATAGACTATCTCTGGTGGAGGTTGATTTCTCCTGTGAATTCAGCATAGATGTGTATATAAACCTGACATGCGCTGTCCAGTACGGATGCTGCTTAGTGCTGTAGAAGTCTGGCACACACTTTTTTTTTTCCAAACAGAAGGCAGCAGCAGCACATAAAATGTAAATAATGATTGTTCCTTGAATTGACACTAGTTCTGCTTTTTAAAACAACTGTTTTCAGTGTAAGATATTACTAAAGTTACTGTGAGATATTCAGATGTGTACTTATTTGTTGTCTGTTTTTGTAGAGCAAATCACTAGGTTCTTACTTTGAGATTCTTGACTTTGATGTGAGTTATTTTAAAGTCTCATTTTAGACTATTAAACATTTTATATTTTTGGTGCTTACAGAAACCTGAAGAAATGCTGTAAAATTGTCTTTGGCGCAATGAGAAATTTTAGGTCCTTAGTAATGCAGCAGCTAGACTCTTGTCTGAAGGCCCTTAAGTTTTGGGTTCTGAATCTACATCGAGGCAAATTGTTTTGGTGTTTTTGTTGTTGAAAATTTCTTTTTACTTATTGACTTGAGCTGCCAGGTTGACCTAGCATGAAATGGGTACTTAGCAATATCCTGGGAAGCAAAGGTGGGTGGCATAATGTTAACCACATCACTCCTTGATTATAAATGTGCTGTTGTTTCCCTCCTAGCTGCCACCTGAAAAGGACTGACACCCTGAGATTACAAAATCTCAATCTAGATGGCAGGCCAACAGGGCATCCCCAATACCCAGTTTAACTTGTGAAGAATTTATAGGTGGGGTGCCCGTAACTGCATCTTTAGGCCTGTATAAATAACACTTTTGTGTGGGCATGGAATTCTAAGGCAAGGTTGTAACATTTTTTTTTCAAAGTTTTCCACATTTAAATCCCTGCAATTCGCTGTGTGGTTTCCAGGGGTCCCATTTTGTCAGGGGAAACAGGGGAATAAGTAGACACCCGCACCCTCAACGAGCATTTTGTAACAGGCTAAATCAGATTTGTTTTCATCAAATTCAGAATGCATATGCCACTGGCTGTAAACTCCGACACAAAGTTCTTGTTGTTCATCCACGTCTGGATTTTGGTCTTGTTCCAGACTTTGAGTTTTGCGTGCGCATCTATTTTACAGATCTGGCTTATTTGTATGCCTCAGACAGATGCACTATGACTTCAAAATGCCCCTAATTAGTTGCAGAGAGCAATGGGTATATTCATGTTCTTCCAAAATGGGGCCCTAGAACCCACACAGGAGGTATTCTGAGTTACTGAAGTGTACTGTCAGCAGGGTGAGTCAGAAATGTGGCTATTTTTTAAAAATAAATGCAGTATGCAGGTTGTTGGGTTATTTGAAGTAGATGGTTGTGCTTGGAAACTGCGATAAATTATTAGTTTGTTTGTAGGAGAAGGGTTATGCTTGGAGACTGAGAAATTATTGAGTTATTTGAAGGAGAAGGGTTGCAATCGGAAACTGTAAGAAATCACATGCTGAAAAAACCAGTGCTGAGAAAAAAATTTGCATGTGTCAGAAAGTAATTTTCAGAGCATTGCTGGTTATGCGGTTGTGTGATTGTGAAGCAGTTATGTGATTGTGATGCAGTTATGTGATTGTGAAGCAGTTATGTGGCTCGGTCTTGTTGTTAGTTTGAAGAATTGCTTTTCTAGTGGTCTGATTTCTTTAGCCATAATTCTGTCATTTGCAGTTGACCATGTAGCCATATTTCTGACTCGGTCTGTATGTCATTAAAAATACTGCTGTTTGATGATTTTAAGTGTTGAGAATCATGAATTTGTAAAGTCAATTAATTGTGATTTAGAGTGTTGCAATAGCAATAATTCTGGTGGTGTTTGGGAGAGAGAGAGGGCACTCTGGGGATGGATGTTTGTGTTGTTAAAATGAGTTTTACTTATATTATGATGAATGTAAAATTGCACGGTGCACTATTTTTGTTTTAGTTGTAGAGAAAAGATGTTTATATTTTATCTGGCAATTCACTGAAGAATGGACCAATTTGTCCTTCACTTGTTTTTGTATGAAAAGTTTAGGAAATTGGCTTTTTATGCTGTAGTGCATTTACAAATTAGTGCCGATGTTCAAAACAGTACATCTCAGCTGTGGTGGAATATATGTGGGTAAAATTGTATGTTAATATGGACTTGATTCTGAACGTTATGTCAGATTTTTTGCTGCATAGCA